AAACTCGAGTATACAGTCCTTCCTGCGTGTGTGTGTGTGTGTGTGTGTGTGTGTGTGTGTGTGTGTGTGTGTGTGTGTGTGTGTCACTGCACGCTGCCGGCAAATGCAGTGATGACTCATGCCACACACACACACACACACACACACACACACACACACACACACACACACACACACACACACACACACACACACACACACACATGCACCATCTGTTTGACAGGCAGGCTGAATCACACAGCGGAGGGAAGCAGTGTGTGTGTGTGTGTGTGTGTGTGTGAGAGCTCTCTCTCACACACACACACACACACACACACACTGCTTCCCTCCGCTGTGTGATTCAGCCTGCCTGTCAAACAGATGGTGCATGTGTGTGTGTGTGTGTGTGNGGAGCTCAAAGGCTTTCTCTCTTGCCGGTTATACCACAAGGTGAGTTCCTTTTTTATTTCCTGCTTCTTCACACACATGCTCTCCAGTACAGGTTAGCTCTGAGTGTTAGCGATGCTAATGTAAACACCGACCATATTACGTCCAAAACAGTCGGGCATCGTTTCTGATAGCAACGTTTCTGATAGCAACGTTTCTGATAGCAACGTTTCTGATAGGGCCGTGGGTCCACATTTCAGATATTACGTCATATCGGACGCAAATTTGGATAAGCTCCGTTGTACCCCCATTTTTAGAGATTTGAGTACGGAGGAAAAGAGAGAGGATTTTATTTTCTGACGATGCGTGAGTTCCCTGACACACCGGGAACACATCAAAAAGTGCATTTCGCATGATAGGTTCCCTTTAACTGCTTTTTGTAAAGAACTTTGACTTGCCTTTTGTTGACATGTGCTGCATTATAAACTGGCCTCACATTGATATCTCTTCACACACACACATGCTCTCCAGTACAGGTTAGCTCTGAGTGTTAGCGATGCTAATGTAAACACCGACCATATTACGTCCAAAACAGTCGGGCATCGTTTCTGATAGCAACGCTTCTGATTGGGCCGTGGGTCCACATTTCAGATATTACATCATATCGGACGCAAATCTGGATCAGCTCCGTTGTTCCCCCATTTTTAGAGATTTGGGTACGGAGGAAAAGAGAGAGGGTTTTATTTTCTGACGCTGCGCGAGTTCCCTGACACACCGGGGAAACATGTTTATGTATAAAAGACATCAAAAAGTGCATTTCGCATGATAGGTTCCCTTTAACTGCTTTTTGTAAAGAACTTTGACTTGCCTTTTGTTGACACGTGCTGCATTATAAACTGGCCTCACATTGATATCTCTTCACTGGATAGTAAAACCAACAATAATGTTGACAAGTTGTATTCAAAACTAAGACAACTCAAAAAGTTAGAAGTCGGCAAAAATATTGAACCTTTGAGATATGATTTAGTTAAAACATTTCCATTGTTGATTTTTGTTCCTGAGACTCTTAGAAAAACCCTCTTTAACAGAATCAAGGTCATCATAAGACACTGAGACAAATGATGACTAACATGTTTACACATACTTTGTCAAGATGAACACTTCTCACAGCTAGCAAGGATTAAGTGACGTATTAAAAACAGTATTTTCTTTGGTCTAACCTCATTGTTTTTCTCTAATAAGGTCTGAGTTCTACAAGCACATCGTCCTGTCCGGAGGCTCCACCATGTACCCCGGCCTGCCGTCCCGCCTGGAGCGCGAGATGAAGCAGCTGTACCTGGAGAGAGTGCTGAAGGGAGACGTGGACAAGCTATCTGTGAGTACAAGCACCTGAAAACATCACTTTGAACTTGATTGAGTTTCAAAAGAACATTATGGAAAATGTCTCCGTGTAACCGGTCCTTCTCTGCTAAAGATGTCACTCCTTTGTAACATGTTTTTATTTATTTGTATTTATCTTACTATTATTAATTAATTTTGTATAATTCATTTATTGTAAATATTTTTTTCTTTTTTTCTTTATTTTATTTCATATTCTGTTCGACCGTATTACTACTTGTCATTTGAATGGAAATGTCCTGTCAGGATATGTCTTGATCTAAAACATGAGGCATCGAGGGAAGACACCACTCGTCCCTTTTCAAAAAAGATTACTTTTACTCAAATGTCTAAAAATGTCCAAAACCGATCTCTGTTAGTTCGGTTTGTTGCCTCTGAATCAATGTACTCTTAGTTATGTCGAAGGGTATTTTTATATGTCAAATTGTGATGATGTTTTCTTAAGATGAAAAGCCTCATGAAGATGTCTGGTGAATATTTTCTAGCAACATCAGACTTTTATAATAAAGGCCTAGACTTCATTACTAATAATAACCGGCTACTGGAAATGTATCGTAGTTCGAGTACATTCATTTGCAGACTTCAGTTCAAATGATATAACGGGATAAAATGAAGCTTAATGTCAGAGCCACAATCAGAGTTTTTTTGCCAAGTAGGTTTACGCATACAAGGAATTTGCTTTGGTGAATAATAATACAAACACAATTAGAGGAGTTAAGGTGCAAAATAAACGTGTTATTAAATGTAAAAAATAAGAGTTTACAAGCAATATAAATATATACACGAAGTACAATACGAATTTGACACAGGACTCTGAACAATCTAAAATGTGCAGTATAATTAGATTTAAAAGTGGTAAAAGCTGTGCGAGTTGCATTGTGTAGAAATGTGCATAAGTTACCAGGAAAAAGTGTGTTTCCAACTTACATTTTCCACTTCTTCTTATCAGCTGGATCAGTTACAGAAAAGCACCAGAGCGTTCTTGTGCAGTGCTTGTTTTCACCACCAGGGGGCACTAATGCCTTCAACATCCAGAAACCTCTCTGTCAGTCTAATGATGATGAGTTGAAAATAAATGTGATTGTTCCTCGAAAGCAGCCACACTCTAGTGCTCAGGGAAACCCTCCAGCCTGTCATTAAAAGATCTCAGAGTATTTAAAGCACCTCACAAGAAGCGCTGGGTTGTGGACACACACACACACACACACACACACACACACACAGACACACACACTGATTAGGTTGTTTAGCATGTCGAGGTAACATACAAAGGTCTGGATTAAAATAATAATAAATAAAACTATCTCTCTCCGTCTTGCCTTAAGTACTCAGACATCTCTCGTACATCCTGTTTCCACGGTCACAGAGTCACACACACACAGACAGACAGACAGACGGGTGCCAGCACTCCGTCAGCGCTCTGTTGACACTCTACTTTCCGCTTTGTCTCCGCAGAAATTCAAGATCCGGATAGAGGACCCCCCCCGGCGTAAACACATGGTGTTCCTGGGCGGCGCCGTGCTGGCCGACATCATGAAGGACAAGGACAACTTCTGGATGACCAGGGAGGAGTATCAGGAGAAAGGGACGCGCGTGCTGGAGAAGCTCGGAGTCACCGTCAGATAAAACACAAAACTCTGACTTAGCTGCTGTTTAGCTTCCACGTCGCTACGGCACCTATAGTCCGACTATCCACATCTAACCTCCCCTCCCCCCGCGCCCGCCAAACCCCCTCTCTCC